CTCGATCCCATGACCCCAGGATCATGACCTGAGCCTAAATCAAGAATCAGAATCTCAACCAACTGAGCCACCCAGGCACCCCAAAGTATATTCTTTAAACTTAATCTCACCTGATTCTTCAGGCTCTTTTAAAATATGGCTATTTAGAACATTTAAAGTTGTATATGTGGCTCGCATTACATTCCTGTTGACCACGGCTGCCAGGAGCTAGCATCCTGAGCCTCATCCTGGACTCCTTCCCTCTTCCCTCTTGTATCCAAATGCTGTCCACATTTGTCAGTTGGACCTGTGATGAGCTGCCACTTCCACAGCCTGATACCCACTCCTCTGTCAAACCCCACTCCCAGCAGAGACCACAGCAGCCCTACTCAAGCCACTCACCACTCTGCTGCCCTAGTGAGTGACCTTCCTAAACTCGGATATGACCGCGTCTGCCTATAGCAGACCTATAGCCTCTCCCTATAGCCCCAGCACCCTCTCTCTCTTTGCCACAGAAGTTCTTACTCAGTCTTCCATCTCAACTTCAACGCTCCTCTGAGTCCCTTCATGACCCTTGAACTAGGTCTGGTCCTCCCTTGAAGGGACATCCCTGCACTTTGTGGTCTCTTCCTGTTTAATGGCCTCAGCCTCTGGACTCTGCCTTCTCATGGGGGCCGGGACTAAGCCAGGCACACAGGTAGGCATGGCTGACATGTTCCCGGCCCTCAGCTGACTTCACACTATCAGCCTCCTCTATTTCTGACCCTTGCTTCTGTCTCCTTGAGGGCTGCCCCTCTGAGGGATGTCCTTCTTGCTCTGTTGTGACCCCACTGTCCCCTCTATGTGGCTGACGCCCGTGAGACGAAGTTTGCATCTCTGGCTCCCTGCTCACCGTCTTGCCTGTGCCCAGTGACAGGTCCAGACAGGACCCTTTGCAGGGTCCCCTTGTGTCCAGCTCACACCCTGATCTCCTCATGCCTGACACAGTCTTCCCAAACATGCCTGTGACTGTCACGTTGCTTCCTCTCCCCAACCTCTGTGTCTCCCCTTTGCTAAGAACAGTGGGTGCCCCATCCACAGTCTCAACCCCAACCAGTCTCTCCAGCTCCTTTCCTTCTGCTCCCCGATTTGCCCCGATGGAGCATTCACTGGCTGCTCTTTCTCAAAAATATGTTTGTTGAATGAATGAATGAATGAATGAGGAGGCGGGCAAGGGGATGGGGCTGTTCGGGCCTGCCCCTTTCCCACAGTCAGTGCTAGGCCAAGCCCTGTCCATCTCACCAGCGAGGCCAAGATGGAACCCCCGATCCAGGGGCTGAACTTGCGCTCCATGGTGCTGTTGCTGGCGATGAGCTTCAGTCGCATGCTCTGGGGAGAAAGAGAGGGACAGGCGGGGGGGGGGGGGGGGGGGGGGGGGGGAGGAAACACCTGGGTTCTGGGAAGGGACAGGGCTGGAAGTGGGGAAGACTGGGAAGTCACAGGGGGAGTGTCTGCTCTGGTGGCCAGAATGCCTGATGTTGGGGAAGGAGGAAGGACTAAGTCCTAAAGAGCTAAGCCACGACTGGAGTCCAGGGCCCTGGCCGCGGTGGGCTCTTACCGGTGGGGTCTTCTGGGAGAGCTCTCGATTGAGCCTGTCAGTGAAGCCCTGGAGCAGTGTGTTCCCGCCAGTGACAATGACACTGCCATACAAGCCCTGAGAGCAGAGAGGAGTGAACCTTCAGGGAAGAGCCCCTCCCCGTCTCCCCACTGCTCCTGGGCCCCTTTGCCCAGACACAGGCTTGGGCCTCACCGGGCGAATGTCGATGTCACACATGCCAATGCTGGTGGTCACCACGTGGCCCACACCCAGCATGGTGTTCCCCGACAGGCCCTGCCGAGAAAGGTGATCTAGGTTTCCAGCCTCTGCCCCCTCTCCCCAGACCCCGGCGATCCTTCCCAGCCTCCCCGACATGCCGGCATCCAGGGAATCCAATCAGCCCCCACCTCAACACCCTCCGCCCAGCCCAACCTTGACATTGGAGGGATCAAACAGGCCCTCAGGGATGCGGAGCCGCTCAGCACCGTAGTCTGTGTTGTAGCCATTGGGCATTTCATAGTGCACTGTGGGCATTTGTGCAGCCACCCTGCCCGGGAAAGAGTGAGACTCTGCCTGGGGGTGCTCACAAAGGACCAGAGGTCCCCTGAGAGTCCCAGGCCTGTCCTCTTTCCCGCCCTCCAGCAGGGAATGCCACTCACTGCTCATCATAGGGAGAGTCTGAGACCTGCAGCACAGAGGCCTGGAAGTCCTGGATCACCTCCTGAGGACCCAGGGAGGTAGTGAGGGTCTGGTCTCCCTCCTCAGCACCCCCAAGTACCCCCTCCTGCAGGGCCTCTTTGTCCCTTCCCCTCTTCTCATGGTAGGGGACGAGGAGCTGGGGAGGGGCAGGGGCTATTTCGGGGGACGCTGTCCTCACATTGCACATGTAGTTATGCCAGGACTTGGAAACCTGGGGTAGCTTCTCC